TCCCCACAACTGACCAAGAATGGACAGTATTATGGAGTTCTACACCGTATGGTGGAGGTGGAACTTACCAAGTACTTTCCTAAAGCATTTACTGGAACCTGATAAAGTTACTGGTGATTTGAAAAATATGTGCCAAGCTGTGGGAAGGCAACTAGTGAAGAGAATCTGAGTGGCTGAACTATGGAGGGCTTCATGGTTTATGTTGGTTTGTTAATTTAAAGCAACACTGTGTAACTCTTTACTCAATTACGTGCTTAATTTGTTATCTAATTAGGGACTTTTCTGGTCAACATTCAGTATTTTTTACTTATGTGTTTTCTACTTGTTGATCACAAAATATTCTGGTCAAAACCTTTCTTCAGCAGTTAAGGCTGTACAGTAGGATTGTCTATTTATTCGGGGCCACTGTAGCGTTGTTGCAGCTGCGGGCGCGCCATGAAGTCACGTCAGTCAAATTCGATTGGTCCGGTCTTAATTATCACTTCATCTAGCAAAGATGGGGGACAAACCCTTGACAGAAACTGCTCAGTTTTTTGCTCCATCAGAGCGCTTATAATCTATGAGGAGGTGAGGGTGATCTAGTGTTGGAAGGAATATCGGGTAGGTCTACTTCCCAATATTGCAGTGGATAATCGAAAATAAGTAGTAGTAGGAAAATATTTCTATTAAACTAAAAAATAAAGCTCCATTTTCCTTGCAAATATCTTTAAAAAAATAATAATCTGGTCCAAATGAGAATGCTATCACATTCCAAAAAAAAAGAGGAAGACGGGTTAATTTTGTGACAGTGCAGTCATTGTTGGCAGCTGCTTTCAGGGCCATTTAACCTGTAAGATACAGGTCTAGCGCCCCTAGTGGCGCTTTGTTTATATTGTTTAGAAATGTTACAGTCAACATTTTTTCTTCTGCCAAAAATAGAAGTAAATAAAACAGAATCTGTTTCTTTAAATTCTATGACAGAAAAAAGTAGAAAGTCCTTTTCCATGTGATTAAACCCCCAACTCTGTTTACATTAAGCCTCATGTGTGAAAAGCGGATATTCGAAGTGATAAACTCGGCTCGTCATCCGTTCCTGGTCAACCTGCACGGCTGTTTCCAGACTGCAGACCACGTGTGCTTCGTGATGGCCTACTCTCCAGGAGGAGACCTCATGAAGCACATCCACACCAACATCTTCTCTGAGAAACAAACTCTGTAAGCAGACATGTCCCACTTTTCTGTTCCACCACATGGTTCAAGCAAATGTCAGCTTGGCTTCTCATCGTGTTTCAGGTTCTACTCTTCGTGTGTTCTGCTCGGTCTGGAGTTCCTCCATCAGAACAAAATAGTTTACAGGTGAGTGAGTGAGAACTGCCTCCGGACTCCTCTTTCAATGATCTGAGTTAGCTGTAGCATGTTTTCACATCTTTCTTTCAGGGATCTGAAACTGGACAACCTGTTGATGGATGCTGATGGATACGTCAGGATTGCAGATTTTGGTTTATGCAAAGAAGGTGGGAAAAATATTTGATGGTTTTGATTGGTGCAAAAAATGTTATGCTCACATCTATTACTAAATGTCTTAAAATCTTCCCAACATACAATCGCTGACATTTGACTGAACAGGATCCATTAGCATCAGTACGATTAAAATGGGTTTCAAGAAGTACTTTTTTTTTTTTTGGCCTCGTTAAAATTATAATAAAGATAGTTAGTTTGTTGCTTTTGTGACTAATAAAGTGGCTGCTATGGTAAATCCCCTCTTTAAAATAGTTTCTAAGGTTATTTTCTTCCTTGTACCCCCACTGTTGTCGTACTGGTTGCTATAGTGATTTTCCCATCATTCGCTATGGGTGTGGGAAAGAATCAATTTGGAGATGTATCGTAATTTTTTTCTGCCCAATGAAATATGTATCTTTCAGTTTCTAATATCGATTAAAAAAGCAAAGTTCTAAAACAATGAGGGGAAATGGGCTACCTGTGCACCCGTATTCTGGTAGATGGCGCCGTGGAGCATAACCATTTCTCTCGCAGTGGAAGACGTGGACTGTCTCAATCTCCTAACAACATGGATTCTGAATAACGTATCCTGCACTTGCTTTTTTATCTATACATTTAATTTTGATAGCTGGGTAAAATATTGCAATATATAGTGATATTACAATATTGTGATAATATGGTATCGTGACCCAATATTATCGTATTGCAACACATGCCAATAGTCACTCCTATCTTTTATTATGTGGTTTTATCATTTTATAGTGAAGTAATTTTTCCCTCACGCTGGTTGATGAAGGGTGTTTTTCCCCTATGTGCTGGTTACTATGGTGATTTGTTTCCTCCTTTGTACAGTTGCTATGGTGATTTTTCTTTTTGGTGCTAATAGCTATGGCGATTATTTATTTAAAAAATTTTTTTTTTATTTTGCACCAGTTTTGTTTTTTTTTTCTCTTTGCATCGGTTGCTAGAGTGTTTTTTTTTTTTTTTCCATTCCGGTGTAGGTACCAGATTAACTCGGGCTGCCAGATTGACTCGGGGGGGCCTGCGCCTTTTGATGACGTCATAATATGGCAACTTCGCCCTTCACTATATGGCAACGCCACTCGTAACGATATGGCAACTCCACTCAAACAAACTACATTGCGCCCGCGGTCTCTATTTATTCTCGTTACAAATGCAGACCGCGGGCTCAATGTAGTTTGTTTGAGTGGCGTTGCCATAATGTGACGTCATCGGGAGGCGCAAGGCCCATGGCGAATTCGCTGACGTCATCGGAAGGCGCAGGGACCATGGAGAATTTCTTCGTAAAATTGTCCGTTTACAAACCGCAATCCCGCTTTCGAATTAAACCTACACCCCGCTATAATTACTTTAGTAAGCTGTCCAGACCAATCAAAATGTTTTGCGCAATTGTGCAAACGTTAAAACAATTATGTATTGTGACGTCATCAAAAGGCGCGTATATATATATATATATATATATATATATATATATATATATATATATATATATATATATATATATATATATATGATTTTTTTTTATTTGCACAAATTGCTATGGTGATGGTATTGCTGTGCAAAGAGGAAACCTTCACACTGGTTACTATAGTGATTTTTCCCTTTTGCATGTTTGATATGGTGATTTTAGTGCAATTGATGTTGTGATTTTCACCTGTGTACTGGTTGCTATGGTATCTTCTCCCTCCCTTTTAATGGCTGCCTTGGGGATTTACCCATTTATATCTTTGCTATAGTGATTCTCCTTGTGAGGTGGTTTTTATCGTTCACACTGGTTGCCTTGGTGATTCCCTTTTTTTTTTGTTGCGTTGGTATTTCCTGTCATTTTTACTCATTGAGGTTTTATTCTCTTTTTCCAATCACCACCGAGGTTTTTCTGTCCTTGTTATAATAACCATGAAGACTCAGCAGATGGATTAAGAACAGATTTAATCTAAAATATATTGTGCTGCCGAGGAAATTTGTGTTTTATTTATTTTTTACTGTTTTCAGTTTTTCTAATTGATACGTCTTTACCTAATAAAAGCTCCACATCCCTCTACTATCTAAATATTTATATAATATAAAGTTTGTATAATTGTGTGTATAATCTGTTTCCCCTTTGTGTGTGAGTCCCCATCAGATCAGTGTAACTCTGTGGTGCATATAAACCGGTCTGTAGTCCTTTATGAGAACATCTGTGTGCAGGAATGGGCCATGGGGATCGGACCAACACCTTTTGCGGCACCCCAGAGTTTCTGGCTCCAGAGGTTCTGACTGAAAACAGCTACACCCGCAGTGTGGACTGGTGGGAACTGGGAGTTCTGATCTATGAGATGCTGGTGGGGGAGGTGAGTGAAACCAGAAACCTGATCTGAGAATATTCTGCTATGATGTTTAAGGAGAACTGTGTTCTGTTTCCAGTCTCCTTTCCCAGGTGACGATGAGGAGGAAGTGTTCGACAGCATCGTCAATGAAGAAGTGCGGTACCCGCGTTCCCTCTCCCAAAAGTCAGCGTCTCTCATGCAGAAGGTTTGTCTGATCCGATCATCGGTATTCAAAGTTTACTCACAGCTGAGTTCTTATTCATTCCACGGCATTTTTCACTTTTCCAGCTGCTGCAGAAAGATCCAGAGCTGAGACTGGGATCCGGAGAGGAAGACGCCGCCGAGATCAAACGACACCAATTCTTTCAGGTAGGTGTTTGCAGAACCTGGTCTCTTTAATTCCATATAGTCCCAGAATGGATGATCAATAATCCCGTACCATGATAACACCTCATACTTTAACCATTTTTTCTAAGGTAATCTATGAAACATTTCATTAAAGTGTTTATCTAAGAAAGAATGGCCTGAAAAGATGAGCTTGATTTAATGAAATGGTTTTAAATAAACTAGATTGTATTTCGTGACTGAGATTAACTGGACCAAACCGGTCAGAATAGATTTAATCCAGCTGTAGACTCAACTTTATT